GTCTTACCCTGAATTTTCAACTATCCCGATGATCAGTTGTACACTCGGGTAGGCCCCGTGCCTTGAGCGCCTATTCGCCCTTAAAGTCAACCCATCAAGTGTAACGATCCACTGCTAAAGTTGCCGGAAAAAACGGTCAGTTCCCTCTACCGCTTCAGTAAGTACCCGACTCCTTCCACTATCCTCTATCTTTACAGGAGCCAGATCAGTCCGTAAAAAAAAAGGCGTATTGCCCAGTCTTCACACTTCAGTCTCGATAGAGTCGGTAAGCGTTTCTTGGATCGATTATTTTCCACCCTACAACCTCTTTCCCACAGACGAAAAGTCGCAAGTCTCTCACTGCTTTATCGCTATTTTCATGAAAAATTCTCTATATTACTTCGTTCTACCAGTCCTACCCTTCATGGCTAAGACGCGCCATGACACGCACAATCTAGCGAACGACCTTCATTCCCTCCCTATTCCATTGGTGAGATGTAAGTACCACTCGAGCAGTTTCTTCCTACAAACCGCTGCTCTGTGGAATCGACTCCCAAGAAGAGGCTTTCCCACTAACTACAATTTTAACCTGTTCAAGTGAACCGTTATTTTCCCCACATATCTCCATAAATCTTGCCTTTTACTCTGTAACACTCTACCTCGAAGGGCTCTTAGGTCTTATAGAGATAGACAACCATTGTAAATAAAAATGATTTCTCCGCCCTCTCCTGACAATTTCTTCATTATTAATTTCTTATAATCATCCTTTCTCTATCTATTTGGTTTTGTTTTCTTTTTGTCGTAAGAAAAAAAATCTATAAACGCAAAAGGGATCTTTTACTCAAAGCATGAGTCGTTCATCGCAGTAGGACTGATCATAATTTCAACTTCAAAAATGTAGTCTTAATTAAATGAGTAATTTCGTCAGATTATTTTTTAAAATCATATCACCCGCAAGCAAGGTAATAATGCCACTAAGACACAAGATGTTACCGAATATGAAAAAATAAGAAAAAAGAGAAACATTATTAAGGAGAGAGAACAATAGAAGAGTAATCAAGAAGACAGTAGATAACGATTGATATTGCATTTCAATTTGTTTTCTAATCATTTCACCCCATGCAAGGCAGTAAAGCCACTAAGACACAATGGGTTACTGAGTGTGAAAGAATAAGAAAAAAGAGAAACATTATTAAGGAGCGAGAACAGTAGAAGAGTAATCAAGAAGACAGTAGATAACGATTGACACTGAATTAAAATTTGTTTTCTAATCATTTCACCCCATGCAAGGCAGTAAAGCCACAAAGCCATATATATATATAGTTTGTTTGTTTAACGGCATATCAACCTGCATATGGGTCATTTAATACTAAAATTTAATTTTCTTTGGGAACTTTGAATTAATAAAAATATGATATATATATTATTCTCCTTTCACAATTGAATACATGGTAGATGAGACTCAGCTTTAGTGCATACACATGTTTGCGTAGACATGATTACTAGGAGGCGGTCAACTGTGTATTTTCTATTGAAGTTTTATCGAAGTTATGTCTTGGAATACAGTTTAATTTCTTTAAGAAATAGGCTCTTATAGGATTTTGTTTAGCGGCATATGAAAACCCCTATGGGCTATTTAATGCCTAAATCTAAATATTTGGAACGTAATTACATGCCTGCAACCACAGGTAATTTTGCGATAAATATGTCTTTTTGCATTTGCTTTGTTTTTGCTTAAGGGTACATTATTTGCCCATAGCTGGGACCCTAACAGGTGCTACCACGGCGGGTCAGGCTCGATCAACAATTAAGAGGTGGTTCCCCGCTCCTGAAAACATCCAGTCTCCTGATCAGATATATATAATTAATTCATCGAGTCTGATAGAAACCTCTACAGAATGCAGGAAGCACTGGACGGCCGTTTCGTTCTATATTTGGGACTCATCAGCAGTGCGCATCCACTACTGAGTATCGAACCCTGACAGTTGGGTTGTCAAGCGAACACCATACCAACTGTTCCAAATGGGCCTCGGCGATGAAGAGATTCCAAATCAGACTCAACTAAGCGCCGTTCGCTCACATATTCCGTGGCGGAACTCAACTGAGTGCTCTGTAGCCACGACTACTCTCACCAAGCCGTTACCAACTGGAGCATTAGAAACCGGTTCAAGCGAAGATAAACACAGATAGTAATTAGTAGGAGGATATATATATATATATATATATATATATATATATATATATATATATATATATATATATATATATATATATATATATATATATATATATATATATATATATATATATACCAAAAGTATATAATTGGTATACACGGAATGAATTCAATAACCAACAATATATTTTTCTTTTTCAACACCATCACTTGATAAGACACAGAGTGTGTTGAAACAAAATGGCTATTTTTGTAGTGATTTTATAACATACTTATGTTATAAATTTTTTAAAAAATTATATATATATATATATATATATATATATATATATATATAATTTTTACATACGTTGGCAGCAGGTTCCTCACATCAAAATAAGGATAAATTTAAACAATCATATGTTCGCAGATCCTGCGTTTTTTGAGTTATTAACTCTTTAAGAAAGACTAGGTTTCATTTGTCATTCGTGTACATCAGTGGCTAGTCTCTCTCTAATGTTTGTCGTGTGCAGTAGTGAGTTAACCGAGAAGTGTTTCTTTTAATAATGGCAGGATATTCATATTATGAGCAGGCAGGTATGATTTTTATATACGGCTGTGGAAATGGTAATGGACACGAGGCTGCACGGCTGTATCAATTTATGTTTCCAGACCGAAAGCTGCCGAGTCATCCAACTTTTGCTTTTGTTTATCGACGCGTTACTGAGACAGGATCTGTCACAAAACAAACTATGCTAAAAAGTATTTTTAGATGGCATCTTGGAATGTCCATATAACAGGGTCTACCGTATCCTTTAAAGTTAATAACTCAAAAACGAAGAATCTCCGGACATATGTTTATATGGACTTTTGCTTTGGTGTGAGGGACCGGCTCTGTGTAAATGTACACACACACACACACACACACACACACACACACACACACACATATATATATATATATATATATATATATATATATATTGTAATGTGGATAGGCCGATGTAAAAAACTATAATGCTCAATAGAGAAAAATCATTTGTAAGATAAAGAAAAAACATCGATTTTACAATAAGTACTTGTGTATTGTGCAGGACGCCGTAAAGTGCAATAAAGGTTAAAGGTCACAGGTTAGATGATACCTTCTTACCGAACGAAAAGATAGGGGTACAGCCGTGTCTCAAAGCGTAATCGTGTCGTTCACTTGTATAGAAAATACAACTATTATTCAGTCGAAAACAAAGGCAGCAAATTTTTCCCAGAAATTACATTATTCAATAAAACCTGCCGAAATAGGCTTCCCCTCTCCCGGAAGAAACAGCCTGGTCAGATCAGACAGTTTGTTCTCTTTAACTATAATGTCCAAAATAAGCGGCCTTCACCAAATCCTTGATATTGTGGAACTGCTAGCAGTTCTCCTTCTTCAAGTGACCCAGCCGAAATAGTCCAGGAATTTCAAATTTGGATAACCCGAAGGACAAATTTTGGATAGGGTAACAGTAATAGTCAACCAGATTAGCGCATTTCCCTGCACACTACGCCAAGACATTTTTATTATATATTTAGTTTAGCTTAGTGTACCAAAAGGCCAAAATTAGGACACCCCCAATGAGGATTGACCTCAAAGAGTAGTTAATGGTCAACCAGACTAACACGTTAACTAGTACACTACACAGAAGTGCTTAGTATTTCACAAGGTGTTGTGGCCTTGTTAGGACCAGAAATAAAAACACAAGAGAGGAATTGAGTTAAACAAATATATTAACAGAAACACCAATACAAACATATAAAAATGAGAGCGTTACAGCAAGAATGTTCGGTCCGACTGTCAGAGCGGACTGCTGGAAACTTTACCCTCCAAAAGGCATTACCTGCTCCTATTTATAACTGGGATAGTCGACATTCCAATCACCTGAAGAAGGCCGGAGCGTACAACGCCGGAAACGTTGTAATAAATATGGCGACAGAGATGAGGACAATAATCCGAATAATGTAAATAGTGTACATAAAAACTTATCTCAGAAATATAGACACATACTGAAAGGCCGAAACATTGTAATAAATATGGCGACAAAGATGAGGACAATTGAATGATGTAAATAATGTATTTATTTGTTTTGAGGCTTTGTTTTCATTTTTGAAAAACTTTATCTGAAAATGCAGTTTTTTTTAATGAACATGTAGCAAACAATTTTTCTAAAAAATTTTAATTATTTTTTTGTCAAACAATTTTGTCTCGTTTTCTGCCATATTTAAATTTCTGTATATATATATTTTTTTTTTGCTGGCATGGTTCCAAGTTTGCCCTTTTATTTTTCTTCTCCTAAATGTGACTCACAAATATAATGATCACAAATTGTATCATTGGATTTATTTTGTGGATTTCTTTCGCTATCACAATATTCAGCCGACTCCTTCTCCAGCCTTCTTCAAGTATGGGAGTTGATGGCAGTTGGGATTGAGTGCATACGAATAATCCTTTCCTTAGCTGCATAGTCTGTGCTTCACCAAGGCTACATACATTCTAGTATACAATCCTGAAAAATAAAGAAGGCCTATTCCCCCCCACCAAGCCTCCGCACGTTGGCACAGGAAAAAAATGGTGGCAAATACACTGTCAACTCATTTTGTTTGTAAAAATAGATTTTCTTTTAAATTGTATATCTGAAGATGGCAATAGAATGAATGAAACGTTATAATGCACACAAAGCCAAAAATGAGTTCAATTTGAGACCCCTTTGGAATGATGACTCTTTTCAAAACCATATTGCGGTAATATGTCTGAATATTTCTTACTGGGGTATTTTTTTTCTAGCCTTAAAACTATAAACAACTGCCATATTTGAAAATACACTTTTTTTTTTAA